GCCCAAGTCTGGAGGCAACACCCAGCCATCAAGGTAGTAGTAATTGATAACACCTGTTCTCTAGGAAATGTTCTAGTCTTGTTTGAAACCGTGTTGCAACTTCTATGAACACTCAGCCAGGGGTGTGTGTGTGTGTGTGTGTGTGTGTTCAATTAGATTAAATAAATTATTTCTGAGCATTTGGGAAAATATTATTCTAAAACATGAGAACGTAATAGTTAGCTAAAGCAATAGCAGTTCCAAGAAAGAATCAATGATAACTAGTCATCTTCCCATATGAGACAATTATGCAATTACTTAGCTCATTCGTGAAATTTGATTGGGTAGTAGGGTAGTCAGATGAGTTAGATATACTAACCCTTTCTTAGACACGTCTCATGTTTCCAATTTCTGCTTCTTCCCATTTTTTTTAAAGAGAAAAGAAAATAGCTCAGGCAGGAGAAAGAGAAGAGCTACAAGACATCTTTTGACTAAAAGAATTAGCACCACTCAGTTCAGAAACATCTTAGATATAAGATTTTCTTCAGGATAGAATGCTAATTTGTCAATGGTCCCTCCCTACCTGAAGTTTACAGAGAAATATACAGTAGTGTCCTGCCAGCGCTTTTCCCTCATGATCACACAACATTGGCCTTAGTTCATCCCTAACCCGTGATTTACAGAGTCTTACGCTACTTAAGATGTAAAACTAAAAATAGGTCTTTTCTCCAACCCTGTTCCACCACAGTGGTAAAGTGTACAACAATAATAACACTTTGTCTTGGAGGTGAGGTCAAGTGAGAGAATGAGTGGAGATTTATTTGAGGAGTGCTAGAAAATATAGGCTGCTCTTCCTCTCTGCTCACTAGCTAATCTCCACGGCTGCTATTTCTGTTTCAGCTCTCTGAGTTCTTCTTGTAACTGTGACCTCCTTGCCAGGATGTTCTATAATTGCCTCTAGAACACCAAATATTTATTTTTCCCTAACCAAAACCAAGAGTTCCCATCAACTTTCTCTCTTTGTTTTTTCTTGCTGTAAAGAAAGAAAGAAAAAGATGCTATCTCCATTGAAGTTTACAATTGCCTTTGTTCTTATATCCATTCCACAAAGGAAATGTTTCTGATATATTTTCTGTAGATAGCCGTATATATGCCTATGATAAGGGATAGCAAAGTCAGACTGTGAGTCCCATCATAAAACAGAAATAAACAAATTCATTACGTGTAACTTCTGTGCAATTTTCCCTACAGATCTATAATTTTGTATCACTATCAGAGTGGTAGGCAACATAGGCCAGAAAATGCTAACATATTAAATCAACTTTGTGGTTAAGTTAATATGTTTCTAGAAAGCAAAGTATATAGTTTTGAAATCTTTTCGGGTTCTGGCATAGAACTTCATTTTCACAAGACAATGCTCATCTAAACTTTAGGCCCTGAAAATGTATGAAAAGAATTGAAGTTGTCTCAGGTAGACATTCTGATACAATGTTTTGTTCCATTGTATCCAATATAAGTGGATAAAGGGGATAAAAATTTCGTTCCACTTTTTATCCAATGTAAGTGGATAAAGTGGGTATAAGTGGATTTCTCATGGTCTCATAAAATCTTCAGAACAGGACAAATAACACTGAGGTCGCCCTGAGAATGCGTGTTCTCTCTGGAAAGGGGCAAAGCCCTTACAGCTTGAAATAAAATACTAGAAGAGAAAGAAAATTTCAGGTTTAAATAGGATTTATTTATTATACTTATTTACTATGCTTCTGTCTTCTCTCCAAGGAGAGAGGTGGATATGCAAAGATCTTTCCTGTCCACTGTAACCTCATAACAATCCTGTGAGGTAGGCTAAGTCAAAAATAATCACCCCGGTCAGCTTCATGCTTGAGAGCAGTGGTGGGATTCAGCCGATTCGCACCACTTCAGCAGAATCGGTAGCTAATTTTTTGTTGCCCAGGCCCAGAATAGACTTCCGGAAGCAGCATCCACACAGAGAACCGGTTGTTCACATATTTGAATCCCACCACTGTTTGAGAGGCATTGTTGGGCAGGGCTTCCCACAATCTGGTACCACATATAAAACCACCAGGGTTCTGTTTCGCAGGAAAAACTTCCAAATCAGTAGCAAAGTGTGGTAAAATCTAGTAAGAATCCTCAGGCATCTTAAAACTTGTTAGCTTTTTCAGATGCTACACATTTCTCATTTTATATATTGAAATATTCACAAATGAATACAAAGTCAAAAAAGTTCGTATACCTCTTTGAATAAATTTTAATCTGATCATCTTTTTTCCTAATCAATGTCAATGTCAAAGGGTTTTGGTAAAAAAAAAAAGGAATATGAAAGGCAACTTAGGTTCAGCAGTGTATTGAATTAAAATGTGAATGCATTATTGGACTGTCCACAAGAGGGCGTGGATTGCTTTTAAAAGGCTCAAATAATACAGTTTCTAGTTATAACAAAAAAAAATCTATCACAGCAAAAATGGCAAATTAACAGATGTCTGAAGACTAAGTGATAGATGATGGCACAGTTTCTCATGGACTAAGCTCAGTATATCAGACCCATGAAATCTTATCCTTGATTGGCAAATAAATAAAGATAGGAAGATCTCTCTCTCTCTCTCTCTCTCTCTCTCTCTCTCTCTCTCTCTCTCTCTCTCTCTCTCTCTCTCTCTCTGTGTGTGTGTGTGTGTGTGTGTGTGTGAGAGAGAGAGAGAGAGAGAGACAGACAGACAGACAGACAGACAGACAGACAGAGGGGGGGAATCTACAGCATCAAAAAAGTGAAGATTGCAGATTTGATCATGTGAGCCTTGCTCCTTTTTTTACATTCTTAGTATGCATAATACCCATAAAAAAGATGTGTGGTTTCATTCCCAGCTTCCAGTCTTCACTTTGTCAAGACTGGGGAGGGATTCTTCTTAACCAGTGTAGAAGATGATAGAGAAAGTCACCATTGCCTGCCTCATTGATGCAATCATCCTATGGCTGGGTTTGCCTATGTTCTCAAAATTTTAGATAGACCATCAATTTGTAAATGAATAATGCACTAAGGGCTAAGTCATAAATAATATGTTGTGGTTGCTGGATGATATTGATGGATAGCTGTGGGTTCTATCTCTCTCAAAACCTGATGAGGCTTTATTTCTTGTTTGCTTGAGCAAACTGGCTGCTGGTTTGGGAAGGCAATATAGGAATACGGTACTGTAAAGAAGGAACGAGGTCTAACAGCTGTCAAGCTTTGTGTAGGCAGCCTTGTGCCACTTTTGTTCCAATCCTTCTTAAAATAAGGTGCCCAGAACTTGAGATGAGCTCAATTATTTGTTTCTAATCAGAGGACTGCTGGGGAAACATTTGGATGGACTCAGGCTGATGTGCCAATGCCTGTGACCTTTGGAAGAAACATCTTCTTTCTCACCGTGCCCTCATTTTGCCTGATCCTAGTAGTGTGTGTCTACTGCTGTCCATAACAATGTCAACCTCTAATAAAGCAACACATATGAGAAATCCAATTACTTTTTAAGTTGTAAACGTCCCTTAGACCCTACCCTGAAAAGGAAGTGCCCAGCCAACCAATGGGGCCTAAATGAAAAAAAGAAAAGTTAGAAGCATATTGTAATTCTGCTGGATCTCCATTGGTATTTCCACAATTGGCAAATTTTTCCCAAATTCCTCCAACCAAGGTGCAGAAGTGAATGTGAGTACCAGGTGGGCTGTCATCAGACTTCTGTACGTAACACTCAGTCCAGAAAGGATGGGAAGTGATTTGGGTTCTGGTCCTTTCACCCCAATAATTCCAGCTCTGCCCAGGTAAGACCATTTTGTGAGTTTGGAGAATTGCCATTGGCTGTTGAACAAGGGCATCTTTTCTCATTCGTTTTTTTGGGGGGCGACTAGATTTTATTGCCAAAAGCTTGGTTCAAGCAACATATGAGTAATCCAGAGGCTAGGCTAAAAATCTGGGTAGCATTTCCAAAGAGACGTCAGGGCCCCTCTAGCATTATTTATCTCCAGGCCTATCTTCTGATGCTGGCAGCATTTCTGCTGCTTCTCCCAGTCAGCTAAATCAGATAGAAATGTGATATATATCTCCTGCTCCAGGCTGATGCTGTACTGGCCCTTGTGAAGAATGGCCCTTCGTTGGAGAAAACTAGTCAGAACTCACTCTTGACCTTTGTAATCCAGTTTGCCCCAAAAACACTGGAGCGAGTTTTGACGGTGCTTCAGTTTGCATGCACACACACTCAAAACATTGTGATTCCCCTCAAAGTTGCTTGCTATCTCCTATAGCCATGTGCCAGTTTATGAAACCTACATTAAGTCATCATACAGTATGCCTGGCTGTGGTTTAACTCTGTCTTTGTAATTTGCAAACCATTCTTTAGTATAACTTGCACAAACTCAGCCAGGTGCCTTATTCAATACTTTATTGTTAAAGCATTCCTTGCTTTGCACAATATGCAAGCAAATTAGTTCTTACAATTATAATAAAGAACAAACCCATAGTATTCTCAGATAGTTACACTAGAATACTTAAGTTGTGACCATGGCTGGGTTTATACATTGCACTAAGCCATTATTTTTAGCCAGTTTGACTTGTTGGCAAGCCTATCACATTAAACTATAAAATATGTCTTATTAACTACAATGTTGAGATCATAAATGATAATCAGCCCAAACCAAATTAAAAACATTTTCACATAGTGCTGTGTGTAAATACAGTCTCTTCACAGCGCAAACTGCGAAGTTTCTAGATTATACGGTGTGTTCACGCAGCACATTAGTTTAAAAATAAAGTTGACTTATTTCCATGCTGTGCAAATTCAGGCAATTGGGAAACTTCAGTGACAAACTGATGTGGCGTCTGAAAGTCAGACTTATTTTGTGAATTAACCTGCAGAGGGTTACCCAGTTTTAACTCATTTTAGTTACACTCTACTTGAGATTTAGACTGCCTTTCTCTCACATGAGAACAGCTGCTTTAAAATATAAGAGAATATAGTACAATACACATTTTATTAAAATATTGCCTTCATTTCCAATCTACATTTTGCATATTCCATGATTACACTTATCCTGTACTTCTTTTTGGAATGACCTTAAAGTCAAAGCAAAGTCATGCAGCATTGGCCCCAAGAAAAACATCCTGCTTTAGCATCTAGTACATTTAACACAGGTGGGAAAAGCTGATCCCTTGTTCAGGGCATCAGAGGACATTAAATTACAGGAAGAGAACCAGAATGGGACACCCTTGTTGGCTATTAAATCCCCAGAATCTGTGCCTCCTTTCATACTCAATATATTAGGGATCAACAGTCATATAAACACCAAATATTGTAGTGTATAGCAGCTCTGGTTCCATCTTTAATAAATCCATACTCCTGAATTAAATTAACCTACTTCCAAAAGAATTTCACAGATTCAAACTGCAGTTGTGTGTTTTCTCAAAAAAAGTGTGGGGGGGATTAGAGGACCCCTCTTTTAATGTTTTCCCATCACAACACTCAAAACACCTAGAACTAGGTAATGCTTGCATCATCAAGTTAGTGTATTAGAAGAGATGACCTTATGTAAGATGTAGAAAAATCATAACTTGTGGCAGATGTTCCCAGTCTAAGGGACCTTCCAGTTGCATCAACTCTACTGCAATGCTCAGCCATTCCCGTAGGCTGTCAAATTGAGGAAGGCTGATCTGCGTTCTGATCCTTCTAGAGGTGAGGGTTATAAAATGGAGTCAGATAAGCAGGGCGAAGGAAGGAAGGGAAGCCCCCCGCTGCTGCTGCTGCTGCAGCCACCAAGGGAAGGGAAGCTGCTGTTGGAAAGAGAAGACTGGCTGAGGTATAAGATGGGAAAGTCTGGTAGGCCAAGGCGCTAGGCCCTGATGGGCTAGGACTGCTACTTCCTGCTGGGGGGGTCACAGCATTGTTGTTTCCTGGTTGCACCAGGCCATCAATTCCGGGGTTTTGTTTCTTCCACTTTGTCCTTCGGTTCTGAAACCAGATTTTGACCTGTGTCTCCGTCAGGCTGAGTGACAGAGCTAGGTTGAGGCGCTCGCACACTGACAGGTATCGTGTAGCCCTGAACTTGTTCTCCAGAGCCACAAGCTGCTCGTATGTAAAGGCTGTCCTGGCTCGCCGAGGCTTGACACAGTTGGGCTCCACTCGGCGCCGTTTGGACAATCTTGGTGAGCCGGGTTCATCCAGATCTGAGGAGGAGGAGGAGGAGGAAGGGAAGTCGAGGGAGGGGAAGGGAGCAGGTGTTCCCATCATGGTGAGGTGGTTCTTGTGCTGGTCTGGCTCCTCTTGTTCCGATGCCTCCAGGGTGGCTGAATCACTTTCTCCTCTTTCTCCATCACTGTTTACATCTACAAAACAGAAAACAGCATTGGTGAGAATGACATCAGGAGACTGGCTACCAAACACACCGAGTTCTTGATTGCACCTGACCTGGCTAACTGTTGCTTTCTGTATGAAAGCCGAAATGGCCGTCCATGCATACGTGCAATTCAACCTGTGCTTCAGGTAGGGAGTCTTTCCTTTATTATATTTTCTGAAAGAATATGTGGAACAGGTGGTACAGGTAAGAGAATCAGACACAAGTGCAGAAAGATGGATAGAGAAGAAGGAGGACATTAACCTGAAGGGTCAATATTAATTATGCTCATCAAAATTAAAGCTTCTGAGCATACACAGAGCAAACTCGAGATCTGGCCACTTCCCATACTTAGAAAAAGGAAGGAGCAGAGAAACTGCAATAATGCACCTCCCAGCTTTGTTTGATTTCTCTCTCTCTCTCTCTCTCTCTCTCTCTCTCTCTCTCTCTCTCTCTCTCTCTCTCTCTCTCTCTCTCTCTCTCTCTCTCTCTCACACACACACACACACACACACACATCCTGTGCTAATGAGACCAAAATTTAAAAGTAAAATACACACAATTCATTTCATCCCAATACTTTTCTATTTACATTATGGGAAGGGAAGGCTGGCTTTAATCCCTATGTTGCTGATTTCAATCAAGTTGCACCAACCTAATCTATTAATTGTATGGCATGTAAGTCAGAGAAGGAGTATCTGAGTCCAAATGAAGGAATGCTATTTTTTAAAGCCGATTTAACCATCCCATCAAACTTTCTGAAATTCTAGGTGGTCTTTTCCAATCCGAGAAATAAGGAAGCTAATTTGAGGACATTGGGAGCAGATACAATGTTTAGCCATTGTTAAGTNCAACCTAATCTATTAATTGTATGGCATGTAAGTCAGAGAAGGAGTATCTGAGTCCAAATGAAGGAATGCTATTTTTTAAAGCCGATTTAACCATCCCATCAAACTTTCTGAAATTCTAGGTGGTCTTTTCCAATCCGAGAAATAAGGAAGCTAATTTGAGGACATTGGGAGCAGATACAATGTTTAGCCATTGTTAAGTCCTGATTGTTTAAAATGTTTTAAAAACTGAGCGAAGATGTTGGATTGTTGGGGTTTTTTGTTTTTTGTTTTTCCTCCTTCCAAGAAGAAGTGAATCTGGCTCTTAGGCCCTCCCTTCCCTCCCTCCCTCTTTTCCATCTCCTTTTTTTCTTCCCCGACCTAATAGAGTTTCAGATTTGTGAAGGGGCGGATCGATACATGTCATCTATTAAAGTTAAGTTTTAATCGAACAATATGAGGATCAGAGCGGGTCGGGAAAGAGATTTGAAGTTGGTACCTGCAAGCTGTGGGAAGGAGATACGCGGCAGTCGGTAATAGGATATCGACCAAGGGGGGAGGCGAAGGCATCCTCTCGCGGGGAGACCACAGGAACAATTATCTGGCTTGTCCTCTGCCGAGCTCGTCCCGATGCCAATCAGCCTCCGAGAGCAGCCTTTGCCTACCAGCCCCACGGGGGGGGGGGTGCCGGGGGGACGCCGAGAGGCTCAGCCGGCTCGCGGCTCGCCCTTCTCCCGCAGTCTCGTAAACGAGACCGCGGCCCGGGCCCAGCTTGGGTTGCGTCTCCCGAGATGCAGCGAAGGGCTCTGCTCCTCAAGGCGGGGCGAGAGCTCTTCTCCGCGGCTGATAAGCCTGGGCGCTCCGCAGCAGCCCAGCTCAGCGAAGTACAGCAGACCCGGCCGGGGACGCGAAAGAGGACCAGGGCGGAAGAACAAACGAGGCTTTTTATAGCTTCCGAGCGGAGCCGATCTTTCAACGCCACGTTGAATCTCTCTATCTCCTTTCCCCTGAAGGGCCGGTGCCTGAGCCAAACCTAAACGCTCTCCCTTTCGAACAGAGCCATCGAGATCGACCGGTTCTGATTTAATTTATGACGGGGGATCTTTCTCTCCCCCCTCTCCCCCCTCCCCCCCCTCGCCACTTAAAGTTTAGCCGCTGCCCGTAAGGAGCCACAGTGTTGTCAAAAAGTCTCCCCTGCTGGATTACCGCGTGGCGTGCCGTCCCGCTGATCATCCCTGCGACCAGCTTCCAGTCTCTCTTCTCCCCCCCCCCTTCCTGCCGTCCCCCCACCCTCCCTCGCCCGGTCCACCTTTTCTTAACTTCATCCGAACCCCGCTCCTATTTTCTTACGGAAAAGGCAAGTGAGTAACTCGCGTATTTCTGCCCTCGGCTTCTCTCCGACCCGGATAGTCGCANGCTGGCTGCGGAGATGGGGTTGGTAGTCCGAGGCATTCGAGGGCGCCAGGTTGGGGAAAAGGCGAGGGTCTAATCCGACCAACGGAATACGCAGAGCGCCTTTGCCGTTTCCAAAGGGCGGCCGAGAAGGGACGAGGCGGCTGCCTGCGCTCCTACAGCATCCCCGGCAGACGGCCGGGCTCGCATCCCCCGCGGCAGCAGTCGCCCTCGTGGGGTCCCGCTATCAGGAAGCGATCGCGGGAGGCTGACGACGGTCCCTTAATAGCTCTGAGCCACCAAAGGTTTCGCCCTTTAGGGATCTGGCCAGCCTCTGTGGCCTTTGCTACGGCGCCTTGGGAAGCTGCCGGCCTTGGATGTTCGGTGGACGTTTGAAGCCCCCTTTAATGCTTGCCAGGGACGAAAAAAACTCCGAGACAGGGAAGGGACAGGAAAGGGAAGGGACGGGACAGGGAAGGGAAGGGAAAGGGGGGGCAGGGATCTCATTGAAACAGAAAAACGCGGCGCCTACCCTGCGAAGCCTCGACCTGGCTCCTTCGACGCTCGGCTTCCAGTTCAACTCTTCCCAAACTTTTTCCTCGGTCTCTCCGCGCCAGCGGCGCGCTCTCCCGTCCCCCAGCCGCCGGAGGGCTTTTCCTATTGAATTTCTGCGGATCCAGGATGTCGAGGATGGAGAAGGAGATTTTCGAAGGGAGAGGGGGCCCTTTGGCCCCGCCGTCCGGACAATCCGGCATTCCCCTTCCGAAGAAGTCTGCGGTAGCCCAGGACGCGCGGCTGGATTCCGGGCGGGAGGCTTGGCCATAAGAAGCGGGGGTCGCCTTCGGGTGAGGCGAGCGAGCCTGGACTTGGGAGATGCTCGTCTAGGAAGGAGGGGAATCTCTGTCCAGGGAGGGGGGGAGAAGGAGGGGCGGAGGAGGAGGGTCCACCCTGGACAAGGGAACGGAGCTGCGATTGGAGGGAGGGGGCTGTCTGCCGAATAGCGTCGTTAATAGTAGTAGGTGATTATTATTATTATTATTTCGCTTGTCTGCCCAAGCTCGTGGAGAGAAACACGCCGGTTTATTGGGGACAGATTGCAGCTATTCCTCCCCCCCCCCCCGTGCGAAATGATAGCAAAAGGTGTTTCCTTTAAATAAATTATGGTGCAATCCTCTATGGGAACTAAATCCATCTGAATGCAGCAAGGTTTGTTCCCAGATAATGTAAAATTCCAGTCCAGCTCAAATCATTAATTCTCCCCCCCCCCGCGCGCAAAAAAAAGTCGTTGATTTCTTTCTCTAGGATAAAGCAGGAGTAATGGAGAGTTTTAACCTGAGCTAACTACTGTTGGGATGAGCTAACTACTTATGAACAAAGGCAAGCGCTTTAAGTTATTTGGTTTCTAAGAGTTTCATAGGGGATGTAGAATACAACATGTAAAACGGGCAAGAAAAAACTCTCAGGGCTAAAAATCGGTGCCTCATGAAAACCTTTAGGCTGATGATTTAGGGGTACATAGGTACACCCAGCATTATGACTTTTATGTGAATTCACTTAATCATGAGATCAAACAACTAAATGTATACAAGGCGTCCTCCGCTTAAGACCACAATTGAGCCCAAGATTTCTGTTGCTAAGTGGAGACATTTGTTAAGTGAGTTTTGCCCCATTTTACAATCTTTCTTGCCACAGTTAAGTGAATCACTGCAGTTGTTAAATTAGTAGTACGGTTGTTAAGTGAATCTGGCTTCCCCCGTTGACTTTGCTTGCCGGAAGGTTGCAAAAGGAGATCACATGACACAAAAGGACACTGCAACCGTCATAAATGTGAGTCAGTTGTCAAGCATCCAAATGTAAATCACATGACCATGGGGATGCTGCAACCGTCATAAGTGCGAAAAATGGTCATAAGTCAATTTGTTCGGTGCTCTTGTAACTTCAAATGGTCACTAAGTGACCTGTTGTAAGTTGAGGTCTCTCCAATTAGTCAGATTATTATTTATCCAGAAGCTGCAATGTTATACTCTTATGGGAGCAAGCCCAGCAGAAATTGGAGAAGAGTTGTTTCTGAGAAGACATACAGGTGTGCATTCTAAGTCCCATTGAAATATTCAGTTGCTCCAAAATTAACATGCAGAAGTTCAAGCTGTAAGCCCTAGGATGCTTCTAAGTGAGGCCTTTTCATGCAATTTGCTTTATCTTGTTCACTAAGGTCCAGGCGATCTTGCCTTCCTCTCTTTTTTTCTACCTGTTTTTCTTCTTAATTAAAAAGAGAGAGAGAGAGACAAAGATCAGATTAATTGGCATGTTACAGTAAGACATGATGTGATTTTTTTGTTGCTGTTGGCAACTTATGTGTTAAGGCAGACAATAAATGACAGCTTAGGGCTATAAACTTTAAGATATGTGCACTTCAACTCCCAGAATGCCCCAGCCAGCCATGCTGATTGAAGGGTTCTGGGAGTTGAAGTTTACAAATCTTAAAGTTTCCAAGGCTGAGAAACACAGACGTAGGACAATGTGTGAATCCAGCCAATTACTACCATCATTTCCTTGACAGCATTAGAATTCCTGTCCTTTGGGTAAGAGAATAATAGCCACTCTTTTTCTCAGGACAGATACCAGTAAGAGTGGTACACTAAACTATTTCAAAATTATTTTTAAAAATTAAAGCACTTGTTTAAGGTAGGCAACATGTCATAGATGAACAAGATTTTAGTTAGGCAACATACGAGAAAAATCTAAGCTGTATAATTTTTAAGGGGCCTCTGTCAGTGGGCAGTTTGAGGCTTTAAATTGATTTTTCAAAGGGATGGTAAAAATACCTGCACACTAAACTTTATAAGTTTTTTTTTTAAAAAAAATTGCAGTACACATCTGTGAATATACATTGATAATGGTTTGTTAGTTTCAGGTGAATATTAGATCTACTTCCACTATAATCTTTGAAGTGATGTGAGGTCAGGAAGAAAAAATGGTCTGGCTTGTGCCTCATAGGGCTGTCAAACATACACATGGATACCAGGCCTATATGATGTTTTTTATAGCTGAACATCTGAATATAGCCTGATATAACTTGATTCTGGAAAACTGTTTCCTATACTAGATTTTCATGCTTAAGTTATCTTGCAGGGCATTTCAAAAAGAGGTTTTTTTTTAAAATCACATTTAAACCAGTGCCAGTTCTACAGATCACAGCCTCCATTAGGAAAAGTGAAGAACTTGTGGCCCTTTACACAACTATTCTATGAAGTAAATCCCACAGAAATTAGTGTCTCACTGAATTTCTATCATTTTGAGGCAGGAAATATACTCATGCTGACTGTAGCCTAAGACTAGGGCTTTTTTTTTTTTTTTAAAGAAAAGGACCGATTCATCCTAAAGGAAAACATATATGCATACACAAAATATAACCATTAAAATCAGTGCAAGGTATATATTTTGATCTGCAAAGCAAAAAAAAGGAATTTTCTAACTAGTTCTTAAAAAGAGAGCCATTTTTCTAGAGACCATATTGGCTCCCACTATTGCTCAATTATTTATGAAAGAAAATTCTCTTTTCATATACTTTGAAAAGGAAAGCAAATAAATTGGCCATTATTCTACATGGTAAGTTGTGCATCAATTTCTTCGGTCATTCATTCCATGTTAATTGATGCTGAGTTTGATGGAGGCATTGTTAGGGACATATCCTTCTGTTGATAGTGAAGATTTATTTAGACTCAGTCTTCCCCTTGGTTTTCCAAAAGGTTACATGCCTGCCTCTTGTCTACCAACCAATTTACAATAAAAAAAGAGAAGTCATTTCCAAAGTGTGGTAGAACAGCTTCAGCAGTAAAATATTTATTTATTTATTTATTTATTTATTTATTTATTTATTTTTACAAAGGCAGATGTGAGCTGTAGTTGGGAAACCTTGGTGGGCTGACACATTCAGAATTTGAAAGAGAAAAAAAAAGGAATTTCAAAGCACTCCTCTGATCTAGAGAAACAATTAAGGAGCATGAAAATCTCTTGCATTATCTCCACCCACCCACATCACCCATTACAATGCAATGTCATAATGTGGTACTGGCAGCCCAAGCTTGGTCGTTTTTTTAAAAAGTAGATTAGAAGGTTTTCAGAACCTAAATGTCCCATCCAAAAATAGCACTGGGGGGCTAATAACTTCTCTCCTTCACCAAGGGACAATAGAGCAGTCATTAGCATTGTTAGCAGATAAGGAATAGATTTAGGAGAAAATTACCACAGTGGAGCTTTAGGTTTATCAACTCTCAACTGATGAGCCATTGAAGAGAGGATATTCCTTTAGTTCCTACCCTCCTCAAACTGTAACATGGTTTGTTGCTTCTGGCATTGTATAATGTGTGAATCCAACTAAATTCCTCTCCTTTCTTATGCTGGCTCTTTTCCAAACACTATATGTTTGGAAATAATGTTTTATTTAGGATAGTTTGTCCCATTATTAGAGCATGGCAAGTATTTATAAAAGCATGACAAACTTGTGGTTACAAAAAAAAAAAATTCCTGCAGATCCTGAGTTTAGCTAAATGTGACCCATTATAGTCATGCGGCTTTGATTATAATTGATAAATGTTCTGAATGTTCCCATTTTTTTCAGTGTGATGACTGTATTTTATAACATCCTTTGCAATTAGAAGTTGTAGAAATTTTAGAACGCACATTCATCGAATTATCTCTGATAGGTTTGCTGAAAATGTGGAATACACAGAAGAACTCAGTGTATTGAATCCTTTCTTCTTTTTTTGGCCACAGGATCTTGTGAAAGGTATCTTATTACATATTTTGGACACTTTAGGCAATATTGCAGGTATTAGAGGCAAACCTCTAATAAATTTAGCAGATGTTGATGGGAGGAGGGCAGGAGCAGCTGGCCTCTTAAAAGAGTATGCCACATTCATTCCTATTATTATGTAAATTATACAGATACCCCCTACATATTCTGATGTTTTACTTTCAAAGAAACTAGCCTTTGGTCCCCATAAAATAGGGATGGGAAAACATCAGCTTTTCTTCTTTGTTTAAAAGGAAAGAAAGATGAAATCCATTGAATGGAGCCTATTGAACAGGGATCATATTTTTAAAACTCTGACCGCAAGAAAAAGTATTCCTGAAAACATCCAGAAATCAGTTGCTGTAATCACTATGCATATGTATTATTGCATTAAATCCATTAGGATCAGATTTGAAACATGGTGTGAATCTATCCAAAATAACGCTATTTAACAAACAATGAATGGAACAAATCAGCTAATATGACATGTGTATTTACCATTGTGCAACCTCAGCCAATAGTATTTATTCGGTAAGCACTGATCAAGCACGCTGGATTAGTACATCTGCCCTTTTTAAAATTTCAGATTGGTTCTGTGTATGCTTATATATGTCTAAGGCCACTGAAATTAATGTTCTAAGAAGGTTGCCTAATATCTCAATGTTAGTAGTGTACGAGGAAATAATTTTGCTTAAAAAATAAATGAAGTACTTCAAGAGGTAGGAAATTTATTTTATTTTATTTATTTTGGAAGATCTATATATCCACCTACTTGCTCACAGAGACTCTAGGTGGCTTATAGAAAATAAAAACAATGTAGAAGGAATAAAAATAATAAATAATTATTTATTATAATAACAATAAAAAATAATAAACCCCCCCCCACCTACCTCCACGGCAACAACACACACTCATATCAGCCACTTAATGGGCTCCATCCCACTCTGAGTTACCCAGGCC